TAAGCCTATGTGTGAAGATGCGTAAATTTTTTTGAAAGCTAGCACATTATAATTTTCCATTGATTGATTGCTTAATTGATTGAATATTTCAGAGATGATGAACAAAATTTTTGGCGATATATCCACCACAAACTGTTGACACGTCGTTGTCGGCTCTGAACACCAGTGGAACTAGTAGTAGTAAGTCCGTAGGCTATTTTTTTTTCCCTTTGTTTTTTTTGTAATTTTTTTTTAAATTTTTCCAGTTGGCTAGGCTCTAGTTTCTAAGGCCTGGGTTTTTTTTAGAATTGGTTGGAGTTTGAGCGTAGGCAAGGCGAGGCAATTCGTTGGTGAATTGCCTTGTTGGGCTGAGGAAGGCTAAGCGGTGAAGTGTTTGTTTTGTTTACATGAAAGGTCTATACCTTACGGTTACGGTACGTATCCGAATAACTTGGGGTTCGTAAACGAGCGATCTAATGACCTACCCTCTGGGCATTACGTCATTTTTGACTTATCCGGTTTCGTTGAAAGTTCGTAAACACAACCTTGGACAGTGTTGTCCCCAGAAATCCGACAGAGGGACAACGTAGGTCATTAGCTGTCCCCAGAATAAAACCTCTGATGAAGTTAAGGGGAGAGATTTTATAGGTTAGGATTGTAAAAATCAATAGAAAACGCAGTTGGTGTTATTAAGCAAATTAACATATTTTTTTAAGCCTTCGTACTTCAGGGGTCCATACTCGTCCCAACAGGATAAATTTTCTTGTGACTTCCCACCGGAGCCATCTGTTCTTTGGTTTAACTTCTTTGCTGCTCTTTTTGTGTTTCTGGTAGATGGCTGAAATACACTTTATAGTATTAACCCACTTTTTTTTGTAACGAGATTTTAAAGCCTTTGGTACCATGTTTCCGTGCTCATGCATGTTAAAGAATTTGATGTGCACTAGTCAAAAAATAAAAAAAAGAATGACAGGTTTGTGTGATGTGTGTACAAAAACCAATTATGACCTGTCCATGTATACTCTAAGTTTGTTGCATAATTCAGATAGATGTTGAACAGAAAAATGTTCTTGTTTAACATTTTTATTTTCAAACTCTTAAAGTTACTATCGGATGCCATAACTGCTATAAAAATTATTTTCATTTAATTCTAATTTAATTCATATTATTTATTTATATTTTTTCAACTTCCTTTTATGAGGGTAGCTTTTACAGTGTGGCTAACTCAAAAAGAGGCTCTCATAACAAATACAAAACATACACATGAACATGAGTAAAATACAAATAGGACAATAAAAAAAAAGATTCTTGATAAAATTTAAAACCATTGTGAAAGACAATAAAATATGAAAGTTATTCTCATGAAATTATAATAACAATTTTGCCATCTCCTTCAGTCAGTTTATTGCTTTGATAATATTCGTTATATTTTCATTGGAAAATTAATGATTTTACACATATTTAAGCTAACAAATTTACTTCAGTACAGGGAAACTTGAGAGGAAGCACCTTATATTTATAATTGATAATGCAAGTTTTCAATACTAGGATATTTCTGATGTGATAAATAAATGGTTTTGTGGTTGAGTCTAAAATTGTCTGTTGTTGTAAATTTACCAAATGGTTATTGATTTACAGTCATTGTGACATAGTGTCAGTGGCATATCTAGAAGTTTTGAATGGGGGGTGCAAAATAAGGTGATATAAGAATAGATTTATAATTTCTACTAAAACGTCTAACAGTTGACTGTTTTCTTACTATGACTTGTGGCATTGTGTTTATGCCACTTGCCTTCTAATTCTAAAATTTGGGTTCAAATATTAATAACTTATAAATGTCCTACTGTTTGAAAAAAATCCTAAAACACTATTAATATATAGTGTCATGGCATTAATGTGTATAAATGGTTGCTTCCATCCGGAACCTGGTAGGTAAATCAATTGTTAATGTTGTAGAAACTGTCAGGTATGATGCCAGCTGCGGCAAACGGATCTGCGATATCATATCCTGGATAATTAATGGTGTTTTCAAGTAGTCTTAAGGGATCATAACACAGCAAAACATCCAGTAAGGCTGGTGACAGACCTTGTGTGGTTTCTTATTAGCCAATTAGTATTATTCAATTTTCACATTTTTTTAACCTGTCAAAATTTAATTTGGATTAATATACATTAGTTAATATTCAAATCTACTTTGTACATGTTGGTGTTTTCATCATGACCTCCCATGTTTCAACTTTAAATTGTCAAACTTTTTTTATTTAAATAACTGCAGTGCATCTCCCATTGGTCGACATTCCCCCTGCCCTTATGTTACATGTGTTATTTCAATTTTATACCTTGTTTACTCAGATCAATATCAGCTGTCAGTTTTACACTTGAGATCTGATCTGTAATTTTTAAGGATTTATGAAGTGCATGGCGTTTGTAATTTGATGTTGGTTTAATTTTTTATAGATTTATCAGAAGAAAACTTGACGGTTAAATTATTATTCCGAAATCAAATGTAAATAGATTGAAGTAGCTATATAAACAGAATAAGCGTACTACAGATGTTCGCTATTTATAGTGTACAGTACATCACAAGATGAGAAACATATGAGAGAGCTTGAAATGTTACTACCTTACCATTGATTTATGGATTTATGTTGGTAAATATATATTTAACTTACTCCTCTCCTTGGGAAGTATTGCTAGATGTGCAGAAATGTGCTACACACCGACCTACGCATTTTTAGTAAATATCCCCATTCTACTGTATCATTAGCAGAGCACACGCTGGGTCGGCTTGCTGCAACAAATCCATTTCTGTTCCATGTGAGTGCTTGACGACATGACATTGTCTGCTGATTGTTGGTGGTAGTCTGGAGAAGAACGTGATGACAAAATTCTACCGCGCACACCTCGTTGTGCTGCAGCCTCCGTGGAAACACAGTGTGTGCTGGCTCTACCTTTCTATTGAAACTGCAATATTTATTACTCCCAGTGCAGTTATACTACTAATGCTATGTATTTAGTGAGGATGCCTATCTCTGGAATTTAATGCATTTTTTCAGTGTTGACCAATCAGAATTTTTCCACAATTACACATTTCAATAGCTCTGTTGTTTTGTGGAACCTTAGTAAAAATATCTAAGGCCATGTTTCCGCAGCACTTACCCGAACAATTATTGGATAGCATCTATTTTGTTGTTTTTCGCTGCAGAAACGGGGCTCAAATTTTGTAAATAATTTTCGGAAGAGGAAAGCTGTGAATGTGAAAATAAATCAAAGTCATGCAAAGTATTCTTTTCAGTAGTTATTAGGTGTAGGGGTCCTAGGCCAGGTATCAAACACTTCATAATACTTCATAATAAAAGGTGAATAAATACAATACAATACAAATCTTTTTTTATTCTGGAAAGCTCATTTCAATACAATTGATGTACTGGTCTCCCAAGAGGTCCAGATTAAGTAAAAAAACAATAACAGAATAAAGAAAAAAGAGGTAAAAACAATAAAAATACAATGCACCAAAGAAATTAAAAGGTTTAAAAATCAACTTAATTAATAGTGTGGAAATGCTTACGAACATCAACTGGAAGGTCATTCCAGAGCATTGATGCTCGGTATTGGAAGGTTCTCTTCCCATGAGTATTTTTCCGTGTTGGAATTATCAATGTGTTTGTGGATTGGCTTCTAGTATTTTTTGGGTGGAGTGTGTCCATGAAGTGGAATTGATTAGATAATTATTTTGTGGTTATTAAATGTAAACAACGGTACCTGGCTGGGCCTAGGCCCACTTCCTATAGGTTATTGTACCGTAAAGCACACAAAACAAAGTTAGCATTCTTTTTCTTCTTCTTCTCAATCCTTATATAGAAGTACAATGAAACATAATTTTGACAGTGCATTTTCCAGAGTGAATAGTACCGAAAGATTTTGTTCTTCGCCTAGGTCTGTCCATCTTGCGCAAAAAAGGGTCGCTAGTTAGGTGAACAAACACATTTGCATTATTGTCAATAATTTTGTATGATGCCCAGGATAAAATAATTGGAGGGAATTTAAAATAATTTGTTGGAGAAATTATTGGAGAAAATATAAGCGCTGCGGAAACACGGCCTTAAAAACAATGCTAAATGGAACTGTCCATTAGGGTGCTATGCCTGCCTTCCAATCTTAGATTTATGGGTTCAAATCTCGCAAAATGACAGGATTTTTTCTTATGACCTTGTCCATGGGGTGATTTTATTTTGTGGCAATATACATTAAAAAACAATAAAGAACTATTGAATGAAAAAAAAATACAAGATATAAGATACAAGATATATTTATTTGTAAATGAACACAACTTAGTTCACATGAAATTCGGTTTCCAGATGCTTCAACAGACAATAAAAATACAACATCCAGAAGTTGGCACTTCCAAGCTCCGGAGGAAAAAAAATTGTTGATATTGTACAACTAATTTTTGCTATGACACAAAAAGTATATTTGACAAAAATCTCAGAAGTGGTTAATGGTTAATGATACAGATTTTTTAAATATTTAAAAACTGGGTGTAAAAGTGGTATTAACCATCCTTTTTTCCACCTTTCCTCCTCATTTTTAAATATTCAAAAATCTGTATTTCATTAACCTCTCCCAAGTGTTAAAAAATATGCTTTTTTTGTTTTTTTAAATTTTTTTCAGTTATACAACATACTGTATAAAAAATAGTTTTTCGTGTGGATCCTCCCTTTAAAGTGCTTTCTGTAATAGGCTAACTAAAACTACAAACGTATTCAAAACAAAAATGGCAAGGCATTTATGTTTGGATAAATACAATAAAAACATAAGATACATATTGCAATTCTGAGGTTTGAGTGTAAATAATGTATAAGTAAAGATGGTATAGGCCTAATGTATAATAGGCCTATTTTGTCTCTCAACTTTTTATTACAAAGTAAAGCAATTAGATATGATTTTACATCGATTGAGTAGAATTTGTGATACTTGTAAGCCTTTCTTGCAGTGCTAATTATTTTCATGTTTTTTTCCAGCATCCATCGTTTTTCCTGCAGGATAAGTATCTGTTGTCTCTGACGTATTATAACTCTTCTCCGCACCTGGCAATGTGAATACGACTATTTATAACTAAATGGTAATTATCTTCCTTTATTATTTTCAAAACACATGATTTATATTATGAACCATATGACCTTAACATTTCATGATTTTATATATCAGCAAATATGTCTTTTTTGAAATCATGAAACCCAAAATATTTAATCTTTTAATTTTGTATAATTTAACATTTTATAGATAATTTTATAAAGATCAGGCTCTTGTCTCAAAAAATGAAAAATAAAATTATGTGATTTTTTTAATCTAGAGGTCAAAAGATAATAATTGTTGCAAAAATTGTTAAAATCGGATAGCAAATAGCAACAGATATGACTATTTATATTTTCGGTCCAACATGTATTTGAAGACTGGATTTTAAGATTTTTTTTTTTTGCCATAGTCGGTCACTGTCAAAATTATTTTGTCTCAACTGCTGGATTTAGACTTAGTTTTGTTCTTAATCAACTGTCCCGAAAATTATAATATAACATTATTTTGTCTCAATTTTGTATCTGTCGCTGAATTTGGCCCTCAAATGTTATTGTTTCAGTAGCCAATTGCTTGAAAATTCAAAGACCAGTTGTTTTATATTTAAAGATGATTTGAAGAATACTAGTACAGGTATGTGAAAATAAAACAAGATGTTTAAAATTGAAGGATTTACAAATACTAGCGATACCTCCTCTCACGCCATAATTTGATTAGATCTATTTCTAGTCTCATTCTTAACAATATAGAAACAGATGCAAAATTTGAATTGGAAAATAAAAACAATTTAGATTGAGTGTGTAATACCCTTTAAGCTTCTGCATTTATGAGCCTCTGTATATCTGCATTTGCGCTATTATAAACCCTATTACATTATTATATTCTCTCTGTGTTGTTTTGCTAGATACTGCTCTGATAGACAACAATAACAAGATATAATGTAATGGAATGTATTCTATTATTAATAAATAATTGTAATAATGTTTTTAATGAAAAGTGAAAGAAGCAACCAAATCGTCAAAGAAAACAATGAATACATTTAACAAATTTAAATTTGTTTATTTATTCAGGCAAAATATTAATAGTAATAGTCTTAAAAGACACAAAGCAGCCCAAACTGTTGGCAAATAGTTGGGCACCTTAAATAACAACTACATATTATTTAATATAATACAAAAAATACAAAAAAATATACTAATAATAATAATAACAATTTATTCAGCATTTCACTTTTGTAACAGGGGCAACACACAGTAAAGTGGTGCAGTCAATCTTAAAGTAAGAAAGATTTAAGCAGTGAATAAAGGGAAAAAAAATAAATAAAAAACTAAACAAAGTGCTTAAGTCAAAGAAAACAAAAGCAGTTACGACAAAGCTTAACAAAAGTATCTATGAATACTACTGTAAACTAGAATTCAACATAAACAAAAGGTTTAAAAAGTAGGTATATTAATTTGAACAAAGAAAAGAAAACTTAAAGTAGCAATGTAAAATTAAACCAGTTTAAAAAATAATTAAATATTCCACTAAATAATAAAACTTTAACATTACAATTTGTATGCAATAACATCATTGCAGACATTGTCATAATAATGATAATGTTGATAATAACAATGATGACAATCAATAAAGGTTAAATACAATAATGATAATAATAATTACCGCATCAATAATCATCATCGTCGTCGTCATCATCATCATCATCGTCATCATCAGCATCACATCGTCGTCGCCGCCATCGTCATCATCATCATCATCATCTTCGTCATCATTTCATCCATCATTGACCCACTGCAGGGTGAGGGCCTTCTAAGCTGAAATCATTTATTCTGTTATAAGCATCAATATAACATAATAATAATTTTAATTTTGACACTATTTTTCACAAATAAAATTACCGAATGCATTATGTCGCAATAAATCACTTAAATTGATTACGAAAAAAGCATTAAATTTTTTTGACATGAATCAACAAATGAGTTACGAAGACATTAATCCAGTTTTTGGACTAATCCATTAATAGCAACCTCTACAATTCTCCGTATAATCATTAACATACTTCATCCAATAATATTTTTTCCATGTATCATACATGTCAATTCATTCTGTGTAATTGCTAAAATTATTCTGTGTAATTACCAAGATTATCTTGAAAAGATATCAGCAAGGTGATTCTGAACATACTGGTATCTACAGGGACATTAACAAAGCTTTCTGTGCATTGTGTATGTGAACATAATTATATATACATCAGCCACACATACAAGTACATGTTAATAATAATCTGGACTGTACCACTTTTTTTATTTGATCTTTTCTTAATTAGCATAATCTGTGAAGTATAGTATACCCGTTCTGAGAATGGACTCACCCGATTCGCTCATAATCTTGCAATTAAATATATTAGTTTGATGCTGCATTTGTATTGCACATCCAACAGTCTCATAGCCTAGTAGCTGCTATGTGGTTTAGATGATATTGTAAATATCAACTGACTAAATGACAATTGCAACAAATATCTGGACAATTTTTGCGGTATATTTGCTCATTGCTTAATTTTTCGCGCAAGATTTCCATATTTTTTTCATCTATTGCAGTTGCGATTACAGGACTATTTTGTATCAAGATTGGCGACGTTTCTCTATTTTATATTTTCTTTCAGTCAATGATTCATATTCATAATCATCTTTGTCAAGGATTTTAAAATACTGCGAAGATAAAATTTGTATCTTAAGGTAATATAAATTTTGTTCATTTTTTTAGCATTTAAATCCCAAACTTATGTGTGCTTAATTTATTAGACTTTCTCTGATTTCTTTATTATACTGTAAGTACTGTATATTAAACAGTAGCCTATTTATCTATTTGTTCTGTATATCTGGCACATGACACAGGGCAGTGATTTCAAGGGTAATGAATAGGGATGATCATTGTCATGGTGATATTGGTGGAGAAAGGGGTCATGGTGATATAATGGGGTCATACTGTAGGTTGTAGATGGTGGTGTCATGATGATATTGGAATTTTTTTTTATTATATTGTATTATATATTTAGGAAAATTATTGTACAGTTTGGTACATTATGTAGTTCCTGGACAGATACAGAAATCTACTGCTGTTAGCAATGATTTATACCTCCTTAATGAGAGTGAACCATACATCAACAGCTAATCATTTGGGATCCTTATAAAAATCATAATTGATGGTCCATGCAGATTTAGTGATGGTCATTATAATTTAAATGTGATTAAAATGCAGTGTTCATGATGTTATAGCTGATGGTCATCTGTATCATTGGGACCATCAGTCATATATCATGACCGTACTTACTCCTAAACAGGTTGCCCATTACTATAGGTGGCATATTATGATGATAAAGTGAATTGTAATGGTCATGATAATATAGATGGTGTTGGTGCTAATATCGTTGATGGTCATAATATTATTAGGTGGCGATGGCAGTGTCTATGATGATGATAATAGATTGTGATGATCATGATGGTATCATTGATGATCATAATGATTATAGAATGCAATTGTTGCTATGGTAAATATGGCAATAACCATGATAATAATACATGTCAATAATCATGATAACAGTTGATGATTATGATGATTGTGGTGATGATTAACAATTAGTGATGGTAATATTAATGATACAGTGCGACTACCTTCATTATTACAGGTTAATTAATTCATGTTAATAATTATAATATCAAGATTTTTATTTTATTGTAGTCATTAAAATCATTAACTAGGCAGACTATTTTTCCCACCGGACAGGTCAAGCTTCCCCCCGTCGGGCAGTCAGACCATAAAAAATACATAAATAGGCCCACACCAAGCCAACACATGTCTGTAACAGTCTGAGACTGCCTTTTCCGGCCATCCAGAGGTTGCTATTCTTAAAAAAATCTCATTTAGGAGGGGGAACCTTCTCTCAACCCCTGCTCCCCCCCCCAGCTCGGGCATACAATCTCAATCCCCCGTCAGACAGCTAAGCCCCCCTCTGAAAATACATCCTAGAGCTGACACGTCCTTCAGAAGAATGTACCTATTTGAATTCTAATAGGGAGCCCCCATTTCCTGGTAGTACAGTATATTTTTTTAATGTTTCATTCCGTGCATACAAAATCTACTACCATGAATTAGAGGGCATCCTTGAGAAGAATGTACCCATTCAAATTCTAATAGGGCGCCACCTATCTTCTAGAAGTACTTTTTTTGACATTTCATTGCGTGCATACAAAAACAAAATCAGGGCAGTCGGAACTCTTGGCATTCTATACTCTTTGGTTTGGTTTGGGGAACCCATTTAAGTAGATTTCCATTAAATTTCTAAATCTCTTTGGGATTAATTCTAAAGGTTTGACACTGTATGTTTAAAGTCCTGACCAACAACAAGCTGAACAAATGTGTAATTAATATGTAATAATACAACATATATACACTATGGGCACAAATTGAATAGGCCAATAAAGCATTCATATATATATCTTTGTGATTAGTTTCTAAGGTTCGACATTGTATATTTAAAAGCTTGACCAACCAAGAGCTGAACAAATGTGTAATTAATATGTAATAATACAACATATATACACTATGGGCACAAATTGAATAGGCCAATAAAGCATTCATATATATATCTTTGTGATTAGTTTCTAAGGTTTGACATTGTATATTTAAAAGCTTGACCAACCAAGAGCTGAACAAATGTGTAATTAATATGTAATAATACAACATATATACACTATGGGCACAAATTGAATAGGCCAATAAAGCATTCATATATATATATTTGTGATTAGTTTCTAAGGTTCGACATTGTATATTTAAAAGCTTGACCAACCAAGAGCTTAACAAATGTGTAATTAATATAATACAACATATCCTTATTATGAACCAAATAGGCCAATAAAACATTTCAATAATCATAATAATAATAATAATATGTCGTTCTTATATAGCGCTTAATGCCTTAACAAAGCCTCTAAGCGCTTCACATTACTACCCCGGTCATTGGATCAAACACATATGGAACACATTGAACACCAAATTAAATTATTAAGTGAAATTATATTATTATTCCATATTGTGGCTAGTAATCAGCGCAGTTGTGTTGGAACCTACCAGGTATATATATACTTCAGTATATATCTTCAGGATTAATTTTAACAGTTTGACACTCTCTATTTAAAATCCTGACCAACCAAGAGCTGAACAAATGTTTAATTATATATACATACATTTATTATGGACAGACTAAATAGGACAATAAAATATTTCAATATTTAAATTAGTGGACATTACAGAAGGTAAATTATTAGTCCAGAAATCAATTCAAACTAGGGGTGGGCTTATACTTGAGAAATAACTACCGGTAATAAAATAAATGTCAAGAGCTAAAGCTTGGTAGTTAAAATGTTTGATTTTCAACCACAGAATCTAAGACTTGTGAAATATTAGCGGTCGTTTAACATTATCAACGTTTTCACAAGTCTACAAACTACTACGCTAGGGAAGAGAGGATAGATACACTTTTACATATGCATATTTGTTGATTCAAAATAATATGTAGAATAATGGTAAAATTATAATGTAACCATGGATATAATATTATAACCAAGTATATTGCTTTAGTTGACTTCACAAAAAAATGGAGATTGGTTTGCAAAATCAACATTTTTTGTACACTTTTGAGGTGTGGGGGAGAAGGGGAGTACTGTTTGTACTCTTTGTGAAATGTTGATAGTTGTGAATGACCCTTTAGGATTTTAGTTTTGTACAGTACATAAAAACAATTAGACTCCCTAATTGATTGATTAAAATTTGGTTTCAATATGTTATAACTAAAAGAAAGAAATAAATTGTGGAGGATGCAGCTATCACAACCGAAGCATATTCTATTGTCTAATTATTGTTGAATGGATCAAACAAAAAATAAAGCATACAGGTCTCCCACCAATTAACGACCACTTTTCTGTGGTCCAATAGTAACAAATGTCTTTTATCTTTATTATTCTATAGAGACCAAGGCTGCTAGGACCATGAAAACTCAGGTCCCACTAGTGGTCTTTAATTGGAGGGAGACCTGTATTAATAGATCAATTAATCAAAGATAATTGAAAGTACAGTCAACTCTAAAGTTATAAATGAAATATTGAATATGTCAAGAAAATAACAAAATTATTTTTTAATGATAAATAGTAAGCAATTAGTAAAGCTGTGCATAGTACACTATAGGAAAATTATTATATGAAAGTTAGATTTAATGCTTGAAAAACATTTCCTGAGGGCTTGCAAGGTCTGAAGGAAAATTTTGAATGCATGAAATCTAACCTAAGTAAAATAATTTTCTGCTAGTGTATGATGAATGCTCTACTAATTGCTTTATAAGTCAATCGCCGTCTATTAATGTTAGTTTTGACATGATTTTGATAACCAAATGTTGTAGCAGTCATCAGTTGCTATAGTGATATGATCACATATGTGTGCGTTTTTTACATTTAGCTGTGCGTATGCTGATTTGTGCTCCTGCAGTACGCGTTAACTCACAGACCTAGCAACGTTACGCATCAGCAGTACAGTACAGACACTATGAATAACTATTGATATACAGTAAGAACTTGTTTGTAATGCTATTTCGATAGACATTCGTCAAAGAAATAAACATTTCTTAAAGCATTTGAGAAAATAAAGTAGTCACTTTTTGATCGGTGCAGACTGGTAAAATCGTGCGATGATTCATAACTAGGCAAGGCTATGGCCTGTGAGAGTAGGAGGAGGAGGCCTCGGCTTCATCCCTGCCTATTTTTCAGATTGTCCTGTGTACACGAACAGTATATTTTGCAAGTATTGAATGTTTGTATCCATGTATTTGACATTTTCTATTGTATTGATTGATGTGTATTTATATTTTATAAAGTCGTACGACCATCGCACGACAGATCCAACTTCGCTCCCAGTACTGAGCGATAGACGATGCAACGTCGTCTGCTGATTGTCATTGGCAGTCTGAACGGATCGTCATTAAAAACGATCTATTGACCATGGTTGTTGCGTTCGCCATAGAATTACGTCGGCCAACAACCGTTGTGTGCAGTTAGTGCTTGTAATTTATCCTAGAACTACCATAAGCAATTTGATGATCAGAATGAAATATATCTTGAAGGTTTGCATGGCGAATATCAATAACAACATAAAACTTTGAATTTGAATAAATAAATAAATACTATTCTCTTCTAATTTTTCTGGATATAGTGTAATATGCTTACAAGTTGAAACATTAATTTTACGATACCAAAAGTATGTTTTGCCATAGTATTGTATTTACAAAATACACGATTTCTAATATCACATAATAAAATAAAGCATCAATGTTAAATAAATGAAAATTTATAGTCAAAACTGCCTAACACCCTTATTGTTACAATTATAATTTATGTGAATTTAATTCATTAAATTAGATTTATTAGGATTATACAATTAAATCTGGAAGGATTTTATGTTGAAAAAATATTTTAAAAACCCCCAATTTTTACATAAAATAAATTCATAAAATATGGTTAAATCTTTTATAAAAATAAACAGACAATTCAACCAATAAACTGTTCTACTATATGGCAATGAAATACATAGCCCTATTCCCCACCCACCTACCTCTTCAATCTCACACTGAACCATTTTACACAAAACATTCTGTTTGATTACATGTTTCTATTTTGAAAATCGTAAT